ACTTTTTATTTGCCAGAGTGTGCCATAATGACAAATGTCGGTTCAGCCAGTCTGCATAAAAGCCAGCCAGCCAGTTTAGTCTCATACACCAGACCGGACCAGACCGGCAAACCTGGAAATCAGCCAAAATCTACACCCTAAGAATATAGTAGTTAATGCTAGCTCTGTCAATAGATGATTCCTGTACTTTACACTCTACTGTTGGCCTTGTGCACAGGTGGAAGTTTAATTTAAAAGAAACACAAGTGTCAGGGCCTCAGATATGACCAGTATACGGCATACATTTTAGGACATCCTCAGGTGTCAGGCTTCAGCGTCAGACCTTAGATGAAAAGGCATAAGGTCTCAGGAAAACCTCTGTCAGACGTCACACTAAAAGGCGTCAGAAAAAAAGTCGTCAGACTAAACGGCCTCGGAAAAAAAGTCGTCAGACCAAAAGGCATCAGAAAAAAAGTCGTCAGACTAAACGCCCTCAGAAAAATCAGTCTCATATTATTTCTTCAAACTTTGATTTAACAGTCGGCAGAACATGGGTGCAGACTAGTAATTTATTTATCTGTCTGAAAAAACAGGGGATGCAAATCTCGGCAGGTAATAAATACACCTCTGCCGAATAATGCATCCAGGCTGTAATTATATTTCAGGAGGTCTGTGAATCAAAGGATTTTACCAGCTCATATTCTGGGTCCTTTTGGCTCAACAGTGTGAATTTCATTCATTTAATAATGACCTAAGCATAATGCACAGGGGATGCATTTTTCAGCAGCAGCAATCAGTTCTGTCGAAAAATGCATGCACCCCTTAACACCCTCATGAAACTTCAAGTCAAAGTTTGATAGGAGCACCATCATGGCTTTATTAGCACGTAGCATACTTTATTTGATGGGCCTTGACACTGCGAATGACTCCCTACATTAATTTTCCGCATTTAAAAACCTTGTTTTCGTAGAGCTATCTGAAATCCCATGCTTAAAAACGCAGCCACACACAAAATAGTGAAGAGTTGGCTGTAACGCCCACCAATGTAATAACTGTCCACAAACCATAAACATAATAAAAATCTGCAGCATTTAATGTAATAAACCCACAAATGTAATACATTCTCCACAAACGTAATAGTCGCTGCCTACTACAAACATAACACGCAATTTCCCACAAATGTAACAACTATTACGTTGGCAGGGATTTATTACATTTGTGGGGAAGTGAAAATCTTTATTGTAATAACTTCCCACAAATGTAATAATACAATGAATAATGGTCGTTGTGGTTGTTGTTTGTTTGTTTGCCTATACACCTACTACTACTACTGACCGTGGGTGCAAAATCCAGCTGCTGACTCTCTGCTCCGCTATCACACAATGGATCCCCCGGCACCAGGGGCGAAAATCCCATTTCATAGTTGGGGGGGACAATAAACAGTAAAATTTTAGAGAATAATTCCAGGGGGGGACAAGGAAAAAAAGTTGTAGCCTGTCCTTTATACAGCATCTTTTACCGCAATTTGATGCTTTAATCTTCTCTCTATCTCTCCAACAGACAGAGTGAATGTCTATACTTATGAGAAATGGCTTAACAACTAAACATTTCCTGCAATTAAACTGGTAAACTGGTTTATAAACAGTGTGCTGTGAGATCTGCCGCTGCGCACCTCACAACCGTGCGTAATAGTCGCGCGTAATGACCGCTCCTCGTCTGTTAAACTGCACGTCTTTCATGTTTGTCTCACTGACAGGTGGAGAGCCTACAGACAGGTACCCATTAGCTATGCTCCGTCAACCATGCGTAATAGTCGCGCGTAATGTCCGCTCCTCGTCCGTTAGACTGCACGTCTTTCATGTTTGTCTCACTGACAGGTGGAGAGCCTACAGACAGGTACCCATTACCTACGAGCCGCTCCGCCACAACCTTGCGTAATAGTCGCTCGTAATGACCGCTCCTCGTCAGTTAGACTGCACGTCTCTCATGTTTGTCTCACGGACAGGTGGAGAGCCCACAGACAGGTACCCATTACCTATGAGCCGCTCTGCCACTGACTGCTCTTGTCCTGTCCTCTCCCTCTTCCTTCTCTCCTGTCCTCTCTGACTATCACTAAACTCTGAGCTTAATCATTAGCCTTTAGCTTAGCAGCACTTGTAATTGAGTAGGCTTTTGAACAATGCAGGAGAAATGTTGCAGACAGTTTATATTATCAGCCTGGGCCTGGGGCTTGTTGTAACAGTAAATGGGATGTGTCGTAACTTGTGTAAGTTAAACTGTGTCTGTGTGAGTGAACATCTTATTCTGCGATGCGCGATGTGGGCAGCCGGGTCCAGCCACACGCTGCTACTGCTGCCAAGCAGCCCCGCCCGTTGGAAAGAGTGTGGGATATACCACTACTAGGAATGGGAAGGGGGGGACTAAATCTTTTAAGATTTAAATAGCACATTATTGCGCGATTATAATGAGAACCGCTTACATTGTGCTTTTAATAAATACTACTGCATTGTTCAAAAATTATTAATTGTGTCTCAAATGATTCTAGGGGGGTACAGCTTTACTGAAGGGGGAGTCATGTCCCCCCTGTCCCCCCCAGGATTTCCACCCCTGCCCGGCACCACCAGGGGGTGGCCAGCCAGTTAGTCCGACCACAGCACTTCCAACATGAAGCAGTCTGTGCATTTCTCCCTCATTGTGCCAGCATGGACTGTGAGGACAGTTGCGTTTATCTCATCGACGGGAAATCACATCCATCTGCTATATGTGAAGTACATGCCCTTATTTGGATAACACATCCTGATATTCCCCACACATAAAGCCTATTGACAGAGTATTATGATCATCACTGATGCACCTGACAAAGAAGATTATTTTGTTTCCTTAAAAATCAAGACGGTAGCTTTCCTTTCAGCTGTGTGCGCACTCCCGCGAGGTGCATGCAGTTCTCGGCAGGCATTCAGATCTAGGCATAACACCGGCCATGCTCCTAGCATAAGAAATACGGACACCAATACTGGCATCGGTTTTAAAGGAAATATCAGCAAATTTATGGATAAACTGTTCGGAGATCACAAAGATCATTCATAGTTTTCAGTGACGTGACCCACGCAGCTGGAGGGCAAAACAAGCGGTTCAACCCACAAATACTTAGGTCATCTCACTGATCATTAACATAAGTTAACATAAGTTTTGGGTGATTGTGATCAGTATCCAGCTCTCGCCGCTGTTTTTTTGTTTTTGTTTTGTTTTTTCTCGCCGCTGTATTTCAGTCACTGAAAACAGTCCCTGTCTGGAGGATCCCTCGCCTAAAAGCCCAGATCATAGCTTTAAAACTACAACTGTCATCTGGGAGGTGAAGTCAGGGTTTCCCTCATCATTATAACACTTGCTCAAGTCGAATGAACGGGGAATATGAAAAAAAACTCTGCATATCCTCTGAATAACATCTCTAGCTATATCGCCACCACCACAACAACAACAACAACAACCTCCCTCTACAAACAAATGTTGCTCGTCGTTCTCTCAGCATGTGTCAGTTAGTTCACAAAAGCAAACATAATGACTCACTGTTAACTGGTAAGTTAGTTAGTTGGCTCCTCTGACCTGCTGCTGTTGCTGCTCATAAAACGTACAGTTTGTAGTGAATCCATCTACGTTAGGACAATAAACAAATACAAAATAAGACACCCGTACGCACACTGCTTCGGCACATAGGCTACTGAAGCGGTGTGCGGACAGGACATGCAAGTCAGACACCCGATATCCCAAAAGTTTAGAGGGTGATGTTGAAATTTTAATGATTTTATATATAAATATATATATTTATTCATTCATTCATTCATTCATCTTCTAACCACTTCATCCTCTTGAGGGTCGCGGGGGGACTGGAGCCTATCCCAGCTGACACTGGGCGAGAGGCAGGGTACACCCTGGACAGGTCGCCAGACTATCACAGGGCTGACACATAGAGACAGACAACCACTCACATTCACACCTATGGACAATTTAGAGTTATCAGTTAACCTATCCCCAATCTGCATGTCTTTGGACTGTGGGAGGAAGCCAGAGTACCCGGAGAGAACCCACGCTGACAAGGGGAGAACATGCAAACTCCGCACAGAAGGGCTCCCACACCCGGGATAGAACCAGGAACCCTCTTGCTGTGAGGCAACAGTGCTAACCACCACACCACCGTGCCATGAGACTGATCTTTCTGATGCCGTTTAGTCTGACGACTTTTTTTCTGATGTCTTTTGGTCCGATGACTTTTTTTCCGAGGCCGTTTAGTCTGACGACTTATTTTCTGATGCCTTTTGGTCTGACGTCTTTTTTTCTGAGGCCGTTTTGTCTGACGACTTTTTTTCTGATGCCTTTTGGTCCAATGACTTTTTTTCTGATGCCTTTTGGTCCGATGACTTTTTTTCTGAGGCCGTTTTGTCTGACGACTTTTTTCTGAGGCCGTTTAGTGTGACGTCTGACAGAGGTTTTCCTGAGACCTTATGCCTTTTCATCTAAGGTCTGACGCTGAAGCCTGACACCTGAGGATGTCCTAAAATGTATGCTGTACCAGTAACATCTCGTGAGACTAAAGAGATTATATGTTACAACAAGGGCTGACTGCCATTAGAGGTCTTAACAGCTTCAGTTGTGTTTGTATTTTCAAGAGTGCATGACTGAATATGTCAGCTTGTGTAAAATCATCCTATGAATTTTTATGATTTTCCTCATTTTCCCTCGTTCATATTCCTAATTTTTTAGGACTAGTTTGACAACACACATCAGTCTGGAGACCTACCCACCTTGTCATGAATATTCATCACAACAGTAATAGTGTCAGGAGGCTGGGCACAATATCGGGAAGACCAATAAATATGATGAAAGAAAACTACCACAGTAAAAACCAAAGCAACCATCAGTTCATACAGGCAAACCAGGGAGCCAGACTTTTTCTGTGTACCAGGTCTAGCCTCCTGTCATTTAAAGAGAAGGTAACTGCAAAAAGACACAAAGGCATTCCTTACCATTGTAAGAGAGGCGAGGCTTGCTTAGACACATGATGAAGTGAACTTCCATTTCATTGGACGCCACAGACTTGGAGCAGACAGGACACTTGAATCCTAGGATAAAGAGCAGAGAATGGATGAGTGAAAAATTCAAATATATACCTCTATCAGCTTCATCACGATTTGTGCTCATTAAATACGTTTAACCCAGCTGAAGGCCTATTACATCATTACTGAGTATATTCCCAAGAAGTGGGTAAAGGGCAGTTTTTAGATGTCTTTTCATAAAAGAAAGGTGAAAATGTGCTTGAGATTTAAATGATGGTAGACATTTATCTTCTAAGGTGATGATCTAAAGTCTAGGAGGTGATAAATTATCAGCGAATCACTTCAGTGTTGCTGTTTTTCTTCAGGGCCCTGGGACCCCATCTAATGACAAAACATGACAAACTAGCTGTGGAAGTTGTGATATAAAGTAGTGCTGCACGATTAATCTAATCGCAGTTGCAATCGCGATGTCAGGTTGTGCTATTACATAACTGCACAAAAGGCTGCGATTTGCGATTTAATGTAAATAAATGTTAACATGTGTGCCTGTGAACGTGACTACCTCTCCTGTAGTGTGTGGAGTCTGTTGACATTACGCCCACAAGCTATCCTGGTGTGTGCTGCACTTATGGTCACCTGACCACCTGGCGTGCAGCAGTGACCAACACGACCAAGAACAGGCTGAGTTGGTGGCGAAAAAAAAAAACCCAACGTCTATTATATGGCGACACTTTGGATTTAGGTACAACAACATTGAACAGAAAGCTGTGTAAAAGTTTAAAAGTTCACGTCCCGCAGCAACATGACCAAACTATGTCAACACTTGAGACAGCACAGAGAAAAGTAGGAAGAATGCATGTGAGAGAAAGCCACGTCAAGTAACGTTAAAGACAAAGAGACAACTGAAAGCCACCAGGGCCTCATAAAACAACAAAGCACAATTATGCATACATTTGTAAGTGTCACACTATACAACAAGACCTCAAAGAGACACAGGGAAATCATGGACTCCATGACAAACTATATAATAACAACTGAAAAATTGAGCAGAATTTTGCTCAGGCTCAGCCCACTTGACATGCTGCTGTGTTGTGCTATGGCCTATTCACATGCTTCATGTCATTTACGTGACAAGACCTGAACACAACACAGGCTCCGCTCCAACTGAGTGTGTGTGTACAGTGCCGTGCTGCGCTACTGTGTGAGCAGTGTGTTTGACCGTGCGAAACAGCAGCCTTTCGATGGTCATTTACACACTGTCCACAACAATAACTATGTCAGGTCAGGTCAGTGCCCCCCCTAATATAATGGTAGGGGAAACACTGAATCAAGCAAGAAGACTAATGATACCCTTTATTTGTTATATTGTAATCGCAATCGCAGCTCGCGATATTATCCACCAAAATCGCAATCGCACATTTTTATCAAATCGTGCAGCACTAATATAAAGCACAGAGCGGCCTAGATCAAACAGTCCTCTTTGAGTCTCCAGCAAAATCATGCTCATATCAAATGTTGAAATACAAAATGCAAGGGATGTTTCACATTTTCTCATTATGACTTTTAAACAGGTCCACCCCAACAGATCCTAACAGATCAGGCTGTTCTCATGCATAGTTTGTATGTTTTTAAATATCCCACGTAATGATGACCCTGTAATAAATGCATTTGGAAGGCTTAGATCACGTGACCAATGTCCTGATGGGACTAGAGAACAAAGAAAGAAGTGGTCTCTTAAGGAGGCAGGTATGATGGGTGGGTCGTTGGACTTAAAGGGGAACGAATGTTTTTTTTCATAATGGGCCCTATTTTCCGATCTACTTTTGTCTAAATGAGTGATAGGATGTTCAAAAGGCTGCCATATCCTATCCAAATCCAGTTGGTCAAAGTCGGGTAAAAATTCAGCCATGACTACTCCAAACAGAGTAACTCCTCCATTTGTAAGGTCACTCCAGTGGTAACTTCCTGCAACAACTCAAATCTCGCGAGACGTGAGATTTCAGAGCCAGACTTTCACTCTCTGAGTGAGTGTTTTGACTTGCCACAACAAACATGTCCGAATTTTTACCCAATTTTGACCAACTGGATCTGGATGAATCATTTGAATTTGATGACCGCCCATAGTTATTTGAACATGGAGTACACGGACGTACATGAACGCAGAGCTTAGTGAAACTGCAGAGCGGACGAGGTGAGAGAGGGAGCAGCAACAGGCAGAGGAACATGTCTGAATCAAGCTAAAGGTAAACACAGACGTTCACTTCTCCTTTCCGTTATGTTGTCGGATAATTATACTAACAGTGCGCATGCATCCGAGCGTGCAGCCTGTTGTAGTCGCTTCTGCTTGTTTTCTTAGTTTTCCTATTTTTTGCTTTATTAAGTTACGTATTTGTGCTTGTTTTTTTATGACTGTCATGTTGAAACTGCGCCCTCTCCAAACATGCTGATTGAGAGACTTGTGCTCTGTATCCTCACTCTGGAATTACTTCTTTCATTCGGACTCGGCATCATTGCGCAACAACTTCATGGCTGCATTGTTTACTCCAGAGATCAGCTGATTGCGCTGAGGCCAGCCAGCCGGCTTGGCGGCTGGAACATCAAAGATCCCAGCTGAAATGTGGAGGAAAACACATAGAGGATGCAGGGGAGGAAGTAAACAGCAGAGGAAAAAAGCAGGGTTGAGACAACGGAGGCTTATGGAGAAGAGAAGATATAAGCCGTGTCTCCCCTCTCTCATCATAGGCAACGTGAGGTCGCTGGCAAATAAGATGGACGAGCTAACAGCGGTCGCCAGGAGTCAGAAGGAGTACCAGGAATGTAGTCTGATGTGCTTCACTGAGAGATGGCTTCACCAGGACATTCCTGACAACAACTTCTCCATCAACGGCTTTCAAACTGTTCGGGCCGACCGGGACTGCACCGAGAGCAGTAAGCGCAAAGGAGGGGGGCTTGCCGTTCTAGTAAATAACCGCTGGTGCAGTCCTGACCATATTTCTATTAAGGAACGAATCTGTTGCCCCGACATTGAACTGTTTGCTGTTGGACTCAGGCCGTATTATCTGCCCAGGGAGTTTTCACATGCCATTATTGTAACTGTTTACATCCCCCCCTCTGCCAACCCGACGTCAGCATGTGCAGTCATTTACTCCGCCATAGCCCGCCTGCAGACTAAACACCCGAGTGCCTTCATAGCTATCTCGGGTGACTTCAACCATGTCATCATGGCAACAACATTGCCCACCTTTACACAGTATGTGAGCTGTCCTACCAGAGAGGAGAGAACACTGGACTTGCTGTATGCAAACGCCAAGGATGCATACAGCTGCTCCCCCCTCCCCCCTCTGGGTAGGTCAGACCACAACCTGGTGCACCTCAACCCCTGCTATGTACCACTAGTCAGGAGCCTGCCTGCGACCATGAGGACAGTGAGGAGATGGTCAGAGGAGGCTTATGAGACACTGCAGGGCTGTTTTGGTGTGACAGACTGGCAGGCAGTCTGTGAGCCACATGGGGAGGACATCGACGGGCTCACAGAATGCATCACGGACTACATCAGTTTCTGTGTGGACTCCACTATCCCAGCCAGGACTGTCGATTATTATCCAAATAACAAACCGTGGGTAACAAAGGACATCAAAGCCATCCTCAATGAAAAGATGAGGGCCTTCAGAGCTGGTAACAGGGAGAAGGTGAGAACAATACAGGGGGAACTGAAGATGAAGATCAGGGAGGCTAAGGAGAGGTACAGGAGGAAGATGGAGTGGAAACTCCAGCAGAACAATATGAGAGAGGTCTGGAGTGGAATGAGGACCATCACTGGCTTCAGGACCAACAACAACAGAGGAGTTGAAGGGAGCGTGGACAGGGCCAATGAACTGAATTTTTTAACAGATTTGACACTGCTAGCCCTGCCC